TTGTGTCTGTAGTTTGAATACCCACAGAGCCTCCAGTACCATCAGCAGCCCCAGGAGATGCAGGAGCAGTACCAAACTTAGCATCAAAAAGCACAGACCCACGCCTTGACACTGGCCCAATCCCGGGACTAGCCTCTACCTTACCCAATGATACCACACCCCCAACATCACTCAGAGAACCCCTAGGCTGCAACCCACTAGACGAGAGAGTGTTACGTAATGCTGATGCAAAACCAACAGGAGTGGAGAGCAGCTGAGTGGAAGGCTTAATAGCACCATCAACAGTATCAACCCCACCTCCTTCCCCTCCCCTTCCTCCCTCCTCTCCAACCGGATCAACAAACCAGGAGGACTGACCAAAAGAGACAGAGTCTGGTCCTAAGCCACACCTACCCTGTAGAGCTATAGCCGGCCCCAACTGATAGGGAAGGTCAAGGTTAGTCTCCCCAGCTGTAGTGCTGTCTGAGCTACTCAGAGAATCAACATCAGTTAAACCGAGTAGTGGTAGGTTAGAATAGTCTAGGCTACCCTCTCCTCCTTTCTCATTCTCTCCTCCTCCAGAGAAAATGGCGTGAAGCTCGTCTATGACGCCTTTATTACGAATGTGGTTGCTAAGCGATATCTGACCAATGAGCTTACAGAACTCAACGTAAGCACAGTGCACCATGCTGGGACTAAAGGTTGCCATGACTTCCTCTACTGCAGTTGGGTTCTCAGAGAGTGGAGGGTGAGGGAAAGGGGCAGTACCCACGGGGTACTCTCCCTTCTCTTCGGTAAAGTAACCCTCTACTGGTGTCAGTATACTAGACTCCTCCTTCTTGTTATGGGCCGTGCTATAGCAATTAAAGAACGACTGGAGAGCGTCCATTAGGACTTCGCTGGACCGCGGTCGTCCTAATTCCTCGCAAATCTTCTTAAGGAGCTCAACTGCCGAGTGACATATGGCTACCCGAGCCTCACGACCGTTAGGAAAGGCAAGGGACTTGGAGGAGAGTACCTCAAAGAGAGGCTTGAAGTAATTACTGGACACGTCAGGCATGAAGCTAAATACAACATCAGGGTTGCCTGTTTTAAGGACACACATCTCAAGGAGGGCAACAGAGGCAGCCACTCCTGACTCAGCCTTTATTGAGAGCAATGTCCTCTTACTCAAGAAAGCAACCTACAAGTAAAGACAATGGTAATAGCTAAACTTTGAAGTGAAAACTCATCTACAGTACATGTACTTTAGTTAAAATTTGAACAATTTTATGTCAACTTTAAAGCAATGTCATCATCAAAAAGTCATAATTGTCTATTTAATTTATGCTTTTACATCAATTGGCTACATGTACATGTATCAATAATCATTATTATTTATAATGTGTGGTGGAGTCTGGTTCATTACCTGTTTCTTGATGAAAGGAATGTAAAGGTGAAGTATGACATCCTCTCCATAATACTGGACCATTGATGACAGCACACTCAGTACATACCTGGTACAGGCACTGTGACCTGATTTACATATTGGAGCAAAGCATCTAAGAGAAAAAAAATAAAATTATCATTATTATTAAAATTATAATAACAATAACAATAACAACAACAGTAGTGATAATAACAATAATAATAATAAAACTGGTATGGAAGCCTGCACATGTACATGTATTAGATGTACATGTACATGTACTCTCTTACTTGTGAAGGTTGTCCAGCAGTGGTCTAATGATGTGTTTAGTAGAGAGAAGAGGTCCGAGTCTCCATAGCAACCAAATGAGGCAATCAGAGGCAACCTCAGAGATACGAGAGGAAATGGCCAACATTTGAGGAGTCGTTTGACTGGTTTCCTCCCCTAGAGGATCAGCTACATCAACTTCTCTCTCATCAACTGACTCATTTGAGAGAAGTAATGGCAGACCAGGCCCTCCCCTCTCTCCAGACGAGGGTAAGAGAGGAGAGTCCCCATTGGTTACCATGGGAACAAGAGGATTAATAGGAGATAGTGGCTCCTCTTCATTATTAGCTGAGGCAGTGCTAGTGATACTGTCTGTGGGAACTGAGGGCTGCTCTTTAATTAGAGGAGGAGACGAGAGAGGTGAACTGGATACAGCGAAAAGAGGAGGAGGAGGATCTCTCATCTTCCCTTCATTATCAAGTTCTGTCTCTCCTTCTTTCTCCCCCTCAGGTGGTAGCTGATTATATTCCTTACTTTGCTCTATATCAGAGAGCATGGCCAGCATTGATGTGACTGGAGCATTGGAGACCAGTATTGACGTCTCTGGGTAGTTCTCATCACTGTCGTACCCATCCTCATCCTCACTTGGATTAGGAGAATCCTCCCAGTTTATGGTAGAGAGACTAACCATGTTCTGCTGTGTTATGTTGCTTGATAATCGACTCAAACTCTGTTGCTGTTTTTGATCGGAGGCCGGAGTGTTTAGCTTGTCTTTATTCCCACCTACTCTTTTAGTGAATGGCTCCAGTAGTGCTTCAATTATGCAACCGACGAAACGCGAGAGAAATATCTTAAGACCGAAATGAGTTATGATGCTTTGGGCCATGCCCCGGCTTAGGAGTCGGCAGTTATCGGAGGGTTTTTCAAACGTGTCAAAAGCATAAAGAAAGCACGGCAAAAGTACCTGTCTCATTGCTCTGAGACCAACGTAGGCAGCCATCTTGTCAAACAGATTGAATATCGACTCAAATACGCTTGACGGATTCTCAAAAAGTGGGAAAACGTGGAGCATGAAGAGATGTATCCCGTCTTGATCCAACTGAGGCAATATCTCGTCTAATTGACTCGCAATGTAGGTTATGACATCCCCCGTCTCTTGTGGGCGGGGCAGCTCTTTACCCTCAGAGTGTTTGGGTTTGATTGGGGGTGTGGCAAGGCCGACGGCTTTCGAGCGAGTCTCAAATTCCGAGAGGGTCTTATAGAGAGGCTCAAAGTAAGGAGGGAAGGAAAGGAGGGGGAGGAACTGCTGAATGAGACTGGTTGATGTTAAAGACGGGATCATCTGTGGAACAAGGGAGTCTCCTCTACTACCAGAACCAACAAACAACAGATCAGTAAAAGACTGAAGAGGACTGGAGAGAGAAAAAAGATAAAATAAAAAAATGCAATACTGTATTGCTGTAAAACTGGAGTTATAAATTTTACTGTAAAAATTTTGATGCTAAAATTAATTTTGCTCTATTAACACAAAATTGTATAATTATATTTGCAGTTATAATTATAATTTTATACATGTATTTCCAGTTATAATTGAGGTAACTATTTGAAAATTGAGAAGGCTACAGTAGAGTGCACACACAGTTAGTCTTACTATGGTATATGTAGCTGCTCATTATTCAATAATCGTCTGAGTATTTTATATCTGGCGGGAAGGGACCCTCCAATAGGTAGGGTTGATCTCAAGTACTTATTGCAGGAGAGCTCAAGTGCCACACAACCCACAGCAGCAATGTCCAGTAGGACCCTCTCACTGAAGGAATGGGAGGAGCAAGAGGTGTGGCCTTTCTCGTAGTCTTCCATGAGTCTCTGTAGCTGCTTGTGTATTGGGTAGTCGTTTTTGGTGTCCTGCAATGTATTTAACAATAAAATGGTGAATTCTCTCCTAGCCAATAATTCTACAAAATACATGCATGTATCCTGGTACTAGTATCTTTTTCAAAGTTTGGAGCAACTGCATGTATAAAGGACACAAACTGCAACAGAGCCAAAATCCAATTTTGATCGGAATCAGCTCAAACTTTCTATGTAACATAAAAAATTGTATATGTATCAGAAAAAAATAAAAAGGAGAATTCTCTTCTAGCCACTTTTTACAAAATACCCAATTTTTATCAGCAAAATTTCTAACTAAATTAATATTAAAAAGTATGTAATAATTATAATAAAAAGAAAGTACAACAGTAGAGAGAGAGAGAGAGAGAGAGAGAGAGTAAGACTCACCTGAAGCACCAGTAGATCCTCTTCCTTCCATTGCCCGAGGTCGGTCGGTCCAGTGCATTTACAAGACTTTGACAAGAAATGAGACACCTCCTCGGCTTGAGTAAGAGTAAGAAGAGGTGCAGTGTTGTCCTGGACTGCAATGTTGCTGTACTGCCACTCAAAGAGCTCGGTGGTGTCAGTGGCTATCGGCTTATTACGTGACCTTAGTATCCTCAAGAGACCAGGTTTACCACCAGGGACATCAGAACCAGTCATCCCGAGATTCTCGGTCCCACGCCCAGTCACTGCCCCCTTAGAAGGGGTCTGAGTGAGAACCCCAATATCGTAAAACCCCCCATTATAATATACAGAGTCTGCGACTGTGTTATCAGTGTTGGGATACCCCACATGCTCAAAAGATCCGTCATCCAACAGGCCACCGACTGAATTAGATTTCTTATGACGGAGGCTCCCATTGTCTAGTATAGACGCCAGGGTCTTTTCTCCTTTCTCCTCATTGCTAGGGGGCGTGGCACTGTTGCCAGGGCTGATATCGAAAGTGGTGAGAGAGAGAAGTGAGCTCATGCTAAGGTAATGCTGCCACTGGGAGACTACAAGAGGGGCTGAGCTAGTCTGTGTTCGCTTGGGATGGGCCGAGCGAAACAGCTGGACTATTCCGTTAGTCTTTGGAGTCGAGTGACCATCCACAAGCGAGAGATAGACATTCTTAGCTTTAACAGCGGAGTCTCCCACCAGCTTATACCCAAAGACCAGATCAAACCAGTGATGGAGCTGACTGGAGATGCTGTCACTCTCTAGGACCTGGCGATGATAAGTAACGAGTTCCTCGGGAGACGAGACCCACCCAGGGACCCCCAGATCAGGCAGGTCTTCGTGTATGGAGCGGAATATCTCCGGGTTTGTATAAAACTCAGGTATGCACTCGTCTGGTGTCCACTCGTACAGCTTTGAAATTGATGACGGATACTCTTCAGGGACCCACCTCGGTCTCACCCTGTCCGTTAGTACCTCTTTAGGAGTCCTCCGAGCTAAATAGACGTAATACGTGACGTCTGAAGCAATGTCACCAATATGATGAGGTATGACTGATCCGAGAGTGTAAGAGTTTAAGCGACGTAGCTCCTCTTGTGCTGACTGGTAGGTAAAGTCAAGCTGTCTCTCTCCTTTGGCAAGGCGGTGCTTAGAGGCCGTAAGGTCCCTCATGTTACCATTCTTGTGGCTGAAGTCGGTAACCCACGGGAAGATCGGGTGATTGTTGGGGTCTCCCAGTCTCCGCCCACAATGATAATTAAGGATCATTATATAATCGAAATTTGAGAGTTGACCCGAACGCCATTTAGTAACAGCTTCACTGAGCGTAAGAGGAGGAGGAGGAAGAACACTCTCACTGGACTCTTTGACATTAATCTTTTGAGTGGGCGTTGATTGTAAAGTGGGTGTGGCTTTAGGCAATACATTATCAACAGCATCTGCTCCTTGTCCTTCCTTAGCAGAGACTAAAGAGGAGGGAGGAAGGTAATACTGAATCCAGAGTCTCCCATCAACGTAGACATTTCTAAGATTAATATCCCCACCAAGTGTCAGCCCCTTGGAATGACAGTATGAGAGCATATAGAGGAGCTGATAGAGGATGAATAAAGGTCGTTTAGTAGAATTCTCTAGCATGGCCGGGCTATGGACTACGCAATCAAAGAGAGAGAACCTCTGATACTTGTACAGGAAGTAAAAGGCTTTTTCAGACTCTAGGGCAGCTATAAGAGTAGAGAGGGTCTCTCGCCCGCTCCCTACTCCTTCGTTCTCGCTGCTCACGAGAGGCGGGGACCCAGATTTGCTTGAGGATGATGTCTGTCTCTCTTCTTTCTTCTCTTTCTGAATGGGATGGATCTGCCTTAACTCCCTGTTGTAAATCTCCTTCACCAGTTGAGAAACAAATGACTACATAGTGAAAGAGAAAGCAAAACAATAAATAACAAAAAACTCTTCTCTCTCTCTCTCTCTCCCCTTACAGAGGTTAATGTGCTTGATCTGTTCTTCTTCTTGTTGGGTGTTGCTGTATCATTAGTAGATGATTTATCAAGTTTTTCAGTCAATTTCCTCCACGAGGAAAGCGTGACCTCTTGAGAGACTGTGGTGAGAAACGTGTGAAGACTATCGACTGAGAAGTCATTCCTAGGAACAAGGAACCTGGGGGAAAGAGAGAGAAGCAATAACAACCATAATAAATAAAGAATATTGGAGTTTCATGTACATGTAAACAACAAATTAATGTGTACATGTAACTGTACCTCATCGTTTCTTCCTCTTTGTCCTCTGCCAGCTCCTGTTTCCTGTAGCATGTAACATGTATGCGTCTCCAAGGTAGCTCTGGGTCCTTTGCACAGGAAGGCTGGAGCAACCAGTGAGCCATTTGAGGACAGTGAGGAGGAGGGAGGTGAGGGAGAGGGACCGAGGAAGAGACAGCAGCACTCAACCAATCAATGTGAACCTAAGAGGAGGAAAAATAGAGGAGAGAAGATAGCAGAGGTTTCAAAACTAAGTAAGCTCAGTGTTTTCTCTCTCTATCTCTCTCTCTCTCCATCATTTCAAGATGAAGTTTAAGGGCGTGAAACCTCACCAGGCAATCTCCTTCCAAGTAGTCTTCCTGGAGGGCAGGAGGAACAGTAGCTCCTGATCTCTCTACAAGCTGCCATTCTTCTATCAGCAAATCTCTCGCTACGAGAGACCTCAGAGAAGAGGATTGTGCCTCCATTTTTCTTGTAACCTTTGGTTGACCAGGCCCCTTAATGCACACACCCACTTGATTAGTTTTTTTATTGAGTGCAATTATTGTTGCAATTAAAAAATTTGCATTATCAAAACTCATAAAGTTCTTATTGCTCTGCAGTATCTGTCCAACACTCTCTTAAGTGAAGCAGGACTATCGATATCTTTTAATGAAATTACTAAAAACTGAAAAAAAAAACAAAATAATTGCATCAAATTTAACTTAAATTGCTGATTGACTGCTTCTACCTTCCATTGTATTTGCTCACAGCTTCTAGTGTCATGTATTACAGGAGACCCTAATTTAATGTACTGGAGTTCATGTTTACCTGCAGAACAAATAATAGATAAATGGCTCTGCAAAAAAGAAAAAAGATTTACATTCTGAGTAAGAGGCAATGAAGTCTTTTATTAAATCAGTTAATGACTGTAACAGCAAAAAATAATTGAAAATGAAGGTTTACAATGTAACTTGCATAATTACCTTGTAGTGAAATGGTTTATACATAAGTGAGAGTCTTCTACTAAGACCCAGTGATCCATATATACCACCTTGATGAACTCCTAGGACTACATGTCTTTTGAGAAGAGAAGGAAGATAGAGCCACAAGGATAATTGCTCTGATATAATGTGATATTCACCTGTAGCACCTTCCTTCATGGTTTGACTTGAATCGTATGGTAAACCGTTGCAATGAAGTTAAAGGTGAAGTCAAGTAGAGGGACAATATGACAGCTTCAAGACATTTGATTGGGAGAGACTCTTTAATCATATCTTTAGCCATATCCATCAGTCTGAAATGGCAGTTTTTAATAAATAATTATTGTTTGGATTATTAAGTACCTTGATAAAGGCTTGTATCTCTTTACATCAAAGAATTGCATCCCAGTGTAGTTGTATCTAAAAAAGAAAAGAGAGAGAACAGAGAGTACCATGAAAATGTTTTAGTCATAAGTACTGTAATTTTTGTAAATATTCCTGTACTGATGAAAGACTTGACGGTATAGAGGCACTTGGTTGTATGACAGGAGCATTAGGATATGGTACCTAATGGAGTGTCACTGATAGAAATAGCATAAACTCCTCTGCCTTTACCCTCTTATTGGTCTTCCCTCTAATAGACTCAGCAACATCGTGTCCCTGGGGATGAGTGACAATCACATAATCCCACATTTTTTCCCAAGTTGAAGAGCTGATTGGAAATCCCTCCGTATTGACCAACCAGTAGTACTTGTTTAGACGAGGATTGGGGGCAGGGACATCCTTTTGGACTACTTTGCCTTCATCCGCCATGATGGTGTCCAGTTACTATGGTAACTCTATCAGCTTTCAGGGGTTAAAAATTAATCTCGTTATATTTTCCGTGCACTTTTAAAGGCGAGTTTTACGGAGAAAACAAAAGGTATCCGGTGATTGCGTAATCTCCGTAGTTTCGGATTGTTTAATTATGTAGGGCGTGGCTTTGTTTTTCCTTTCTTTTAAAAATGTCCTCGTGGTTCAGTGGAAGTAGTTTCACATCATTGACGGATCAGATAACCTCATTCACCAAAGATGTACTGAACGAGACCACCCAAGAGATAGAGGGTAATCGATATTAACACTCCTACCCGCCGAATCCCTCTTTTACCCATTCACTATGCACACACAGACCCTGTTACTGAACTACAGGTAGCACAAAGGCAGATAGAACAATTAAAGGAAGAAGCCAGTCAATACACAACTGAAGTATGATGGGTTTATGAAGTAGTAGTGACATTTATGTTGCTGTAGTTGGTGAGGCTGAGGAAGAGCAATGAGGAGTATAGAGAAAGAGCGGAAGCTGCTGAGTATCAGGTTGTATCAAACAAAGAGCAATATCTCAAATTGTTACAAGAACAAGAGGTATTTAATTCATTGTCTGGGGCTATGATTATTATTAAAATTATATTATTATTATTATTATTATTATTATTATTATTATTATTATTATTATTGTTAAAAGAATTACGTGTAGAACCAGATTTTAGCAGTAGACATGTTCATGTACATTATACATATAATATTAATATTGCCAGAGCATGAAATAACAGTTGGACATTGGAAGAGTTTTGCATTGTTCAGTCAGTTTGTCTAAACAACATAACTTCAGTGTTTCCTACAAAGCATGCTAAGTGAGCTAAACAGCATGAGCTGACAAGCAATACGATACAGTACATGGCATTTGGAGCAACTTTATAAATTCATAAAAAATCCAATTTTGATCAGAATCAGCTCAATTTTCTACATGAAATAAGAGCATGTATATGTATCTGGAAAAATTATAAGAATGGAGAATTGTTTTTTTCCATTTTTGACAAAATTTAGTCAAAGATTAATAGCTATAGTTCTTGGTCCTTGGCAGCAACTTTAAAAATTCATAAAAAATTAAAATTTGATTGGAATGAGCTCAAGCTTGATACACAACATAAGAACATGTATGTGTATCAGAAAAAATTATTAAAAGGGAGAATTCTCTCCTAGTCATTTTTGGTGAAATTTGCCAAAGATCCTGTACTATAGTACAGGGACTTTGGCTCGATTTTGGAGTAACTTTAAAAATTCATAAAAAATCCAAAATTGATCGGAATGAGTTGTAATTTGAAACATAGGATAAAGACATGTATATAAATCAGAAAAAATTATAAAAATGAAGAAATTTCTTCTTTCAAATTTTGATGAAATTTGGCCAAGAGCCCTGTACTGTATGTAGTACAGGGTCTTTGGCCCAAATTTTGAGCAATTTGACAATCCACGAAAAAGAGGCTACATCCTGCAGGAAACCCTGTCCGACTGTTTTATAAAAATGGCAGATCAAATTAAGGAATGTTCAGACACAACTGAACATGTTTGAAAGTAATTTTTGGCTCTGATTGTCCCGTTAGGCAAATGGCGAAAAGCTAAAGGAGCAACTGAAAGAAATGAAATCCGATCAAAGGAAGATTGTGATGGCAACACGGAGCGACTCAAATCTTACGTCTCTTGAACAAAAAAGTAAAAAAATTGAAATACAATTATAACATTATAAATAACAATAGCTTATTAATAACAACAATAGCAACAATAGTAATAACAATAACAATAATTGGTTAATTATACATTCTACATGTAATTAACATACCTTAAAGCCACTATTATTTGCAAGTACTAATTTTTTGCATTTTTTGTGAGTGGCTTTAAAATCGCAAAAAGTAGTACCCGCATTTATTAATAAGCTAGGTTTATTAATAGTCATTAATTGAATTTAAAAAGAGCAAAATCGCAAGAAGTAGTACACGCTAAATCTATACCATTAACAAATTGCAATATATATCTACTTAAAAGTAAGTGGCTTTAAGGTAATAAATTATTGTAATTACTGCAGGTGGGGCTCTATCTCTTGGTTTAGTGCCACCACACACGAGCACAGGCGAGGGGCTGGAATGGAGTGGAGCCGACTGGAATGAAGAAACTGATTTCGAGTATCTCGAAGTCTCACAGTCAAAATTGTCGCAGCTCCAGTCCGAGTTAGCTCGAGTTAGAGTCGAGTGCCAGCACTGGAAGGAACTAGCACAAGACAGAGTGAGTGAGGTAATGGATGATTTATTGGCAAGTGTAGAACTACGTAGTAAAGCTGTCTGCCTGAAAGTAATTGGTGGTTTTTATATTGGTACTTAATTTAATTGAAATAATTCTACTACTTCTTCACAGTCTACACAGAATTGCTGAAGTTAAGACAGGAAGTACAATGTACATGTATAAGCCAATGGCCAGAGTTAACTTACATTAAGGACAGGAATAATGTGCTGTATATTACACTTTCTGTCTTAACCTAAGGCCTTGCCTTACTTTAAGTTGTGAGTGTGAATCTGCCTTAACATCCAATATTAATGCCTTCCTAATATCAAGTGTGCATGGGATTGGCTTAAACTTTCTACATTCCGTAGCACGAGGACAAAAATGGAATACAATAGGTCTTATTCATAGTAGCTAGTCCATGGCATTATTTTCCATTAGTCCATGGTATTATTTTCCATTAGTCCATGGTATTATTCTCCATTAGTCCATGGTATTATTCTCCATTAGTCCATGGTATTATTCTCCATTAGTCCATGGTATTACTTTCCATTAGTCCATGGTATTATTTTCTGAATATTTGTACACAGCCTGACATTGATAACCGGATGATGACTCTGTGTGTGTACATGTATGGTAAATGTGATGTGTTGGTGTCAGATTACATTTATTGGTTTCCCTTGTTTGGTCTGCTTTAATCATCTCATTAATTACACAAACATACATTGATATATCTACATTGATATTGATATTCATGTACACCCCTAATAAGGACACCCTCTTAATACCCATCCCTATGTACTGTAATATTGTGTGTACATTTCTTTAGAATGGAAATGAAGGAGGCAGAACAGGTTTTGAAGATCATCAGGTTTATTATTCACTAATTGGCATTCTCTCTTTACATGTATATCTCTCTCTTTCTCTCTCCCCCCTCTCTCTCTCTCTCTCCCTCTCTCTCTCTCTCTCTCCCTCTCTCTCTCTCTCCCTCTCTCTCTCTCCCTCTCTCTCTCTCCCTCTCTCTCCCCCCCTCTCTCCCTCTCCCCCCTCTCTCTCCTTTTCTCTTTTCCCTTCCTTCTAGGCAGTTACTGCTAATGAAGATGTCCTACAGCAAGAGAGACTAAGACATGAGCATGATATATCAGCTCTTCAGATGCTCCATGCCCAGCAGCTTCAGGCAGTCAATCTCAGACACAGACAGGAAATTGAAAACCTTCAAGAGATAATGCACCAGGAAACCACAGGTCAGATTGTTTTAATTGATGATTTTTACTCTCTCACTCTCTCTCTCTCTCACACACACACACAACAGGTTTGTTTATTGATTGTGTGATTGATTAACATGTACAGTTTCCAGTTTCACAGGTAGAAGAGGAACAGTTGCCAGTTGTGAAAGCAGAGCTATCAGAACTTAGACTAAGAAATAAACAACTAATGGACAAACTTCAGTTGAACCAGGTATTGCCTAACACAGAAACACACACACATGCATATGTACAAATAGCTGTGTTATGCTTACATTCCCTTTCATGTACCTGTAATACACCCACTCACAAATACAGTACAATATGCATACAAAAGTATGTGTGTACATTGTATGGGTATGTTTGATTGTTGCTCTTGTTATCATCTTATCAAAATGCTACACTACACACCCCAGCTGTAACATTGATATAGTAAAGGGAGGAATCTTTGTTTTGTAAATGTGACACATTGTCAAGATGACATTGACTGGGTCCACCACCCAATAGCACTATGAGAGAGTTGCTCCTATGATATTTCAGCAAAGGAATGTCACTCTGTAATGACTGGCAGTCAAAATAAGTGTCAAAAGAATCTGTCTTTACTACTGGGAATAAATAATGTAGAGACAGAGAGAGAGAGAGGGTCAATACATGTGATGTGCATGTAGAGTGAACAGTGAAGATGGAAGGGGAATAGAAGCTGGAAATAAAAGCACCATCTTTTTTTCTTTGTCACAGGTTATCACAGGCGAACTAAAAGATGCCATTGCTAATTTGAAAGAGCTTGTTCACCTATCGCTGGAAGGCCAGTTAAAGAACATAGAGGAAGAGAAGAGAGGGTTGACCACTTATATAACGGATATACACACCTCCTTTAAATCCCATCAGGAGATCATCGAGAGCCTACAGATCAAGAGAACACAATTCGAAGAGGAGACCCAGAGCCTTAGCAACGAGTTGGAGCGCATGAAAACCAAACTTGAGAGTGAAGGAGAAGGAGGAAGTAATGAAAGCATGTTGGGGGACAAGGAAAGAGACACAGCCTCTCTCTCTCTGACTGGAGAAGAAGAACTGCTACAGCAATCAGAGGAGAAGGAAGGACACAGTATTCAGGGAAATGGTATTTTAAAGGTTGAGTCAGAGCATTTGAATCAGCAGCTGTTTGAATTACGAGAAACAGTGAAGGAGAGAGAGGAGGCAGTTGGTAGCCTCTCCTCTCTGTTGAGTAAGAGAGAAGAGGAAATGGAGTTACTAGTACAAGAAAGGGAGGAGTTGTCAAGACAATGTACGTCACTGGCAGCAGAGCTGTCCAATACGAGACTGAAGATAGAAGAGAAGGAAGAGTTACTGACGGCCAAAGACAGAGAAATTAGGGAAAAAGATGAAGAGATAATCGAATCCAAAAGACAAAGTGGAGACTTGAAACAAGCCATATTAGAACTAGAAGAAAAGTTGAGGGGAACTAGCAGTGCCTCCATCCATGAAGAGGAGAGTCGTCTTTCCACTTTGAGGCAAGAGCTCACGAAACAATCAGAAATAATTACACAACTGACTCAAGAAAGGAATGGTTTGATTCATTCTCGTGATCAACTTTTAGAGGAACATAATGAAAGAATCAAAGTGAGTCAATCCCCCATGTAATTATTATTGTCTAGCCTGTCAAGTGATAATTTATCATGTATTTATACAAGTACATGTACATATACTGGTACATATTATGTCATGGTTGGGTTGTTCATTGGTACAAGAAACAGGTGGTAAATATTGGTTTACTGTTGTACTATTAACACACTCTCACACAGACACATATAAATTGATTGTTTTTATTATTGTTATTGTTATTATTGTTACTGACTCACTCAGGAAAATGAAAAGACACATTTAAAGGAAATCCTAGAACTCCAATCGAAGCTTTCAAAGTGTGAAAAGGACTTGGGACGACTAAGAGAACACTTGATTGAAGTAGAAGGACACCACACGGAGGAGGCCTTGAGTAACAAGGAGCAAGAGGAGCAGTTAAAAGAACAATTGAAACTGATGGAGAGAGAGCTAGGGAGAGTAAATGAACAACTTAGCCAACAAAGGTTATAAACTCTAATGCTCTTTTGTTTATTTTAGGCTTCCTTCTCTCTCTCACACACTTACTTTCTGTTTATTCTCCTTCCCTTTGCTCTCTCTTTCTCTCTCCCCCCCTCTCTCTCTCTCCCTCCCTCTCTCTCTCTCCCTCCCTCTCTCTTTCCTCCCTCCCTCTCTCTTTCCTCCCTCCCTCTCTCTTTCCTCCCTCCCTCTCTCTTTCCTCCCTCCCTCTCTCTTTCCTTCTCCAGTCTTGAAGATCATCAGTTACAGAATGATCTGGCAGCAGTTGTAAGTGAAAGGGACCATCTCCAATCGAGTCTCTTAGAGACTCAGAGAGAGAGGGACCAGAGCATTACAGCCATGCACAACCTCCAAACGGTCCTGGAACATTTTCAAAAAGGAGGCAACGAGCTTGACGAGTTACAAGGCTTGTTACTTAAGAAGCAAGAAGAGCTCGAGACTGCTAATAAAGAATGCCAGAGACTTTTGAATTGTCAACAAGAGAAGGTTTGTGATTGAAGGCTGGAATGTTATTTTAAGCTTTAGAATGATTATGATTACAATGTATAAGGGACTGATTATTATTTATTATTATTACTGTTATTGTGGTCTCTGTGTTGTTCCCATGTCCTTATCACATTATTATTATTATTATTATTATTATCATTCTGCAGTCATCAACTGGAGAAGATGTAATGGCAGCTTCCTCAGTGAGCGATCATCTCCTTTTAGAAATGAAACAGAAAGATGATACAATACAATCCCTTAATACAGAAAGTAAGCTTTTGACCACTTACGACTGTATGTGAATGCATTCTTGCACTTTGTCTCTTAATTATTTTAGTACAAAGTTATCAACTAACTCTCAAAAAGTGTAGGGCAAAGATTGAGCAGCTCTCGTGTGACCAAGACACTAACGTTGACAAGTATGATGGTCACTGCTTCATTTGAATGTCATATTTTCCTTCTCTTTGAATCTACAGGCAACTTGTAAGGAATCTTTTTCTGAGTTACATCTCAAAGCAAGATGAAATAAAGAAAAGAGATAAGATAGTACATGTCTTGCAAAAGGTCCTGGATATCGACCAGAGTGAGATTGAAAAAGTATGAGTAATGAGTTTTCCTGGTGTTCTTTAATTCTATGCCCATTCTCCCTACCATTTATCTAAGGTTTTAGGTAGGAAGGCCATGTGGTTACCCAATATATGGCCCAGCCCTCCCTCTCCTCTTAACTCACTGGCGAACACACCCACCAATGAACAAGTTAGTCCAAATGAAATTTCATTTCTTGTTTTTATATGATAATTTGTAGGTGTCGTTATCAAAGATGTTTGTGTCATTTTTGGAATCTGAGTCAACTAGAGAGATACAGCCCAAATCTCCACCTCTTCTTTCTACGTCTCTACATCCACGGCCCCCGAAACACTTACTGACGATGCAGGCTCCGCCCACCACCATGCCAGAAACCAAAAAAGAGGAGGAGCCTCAGAGTGTTGCTGTAGCTACACCTCAAAGTTTAGAAACGTTATTGGAAATAGGCAATTCTCCCAAAAGTTGATCATTATTCTAATATTATGTCACATTCAGGATTATTATTGTTATTATTATTAATATTATACTAGAAAAATTCACAAAAATGCTTAACAGAAGTTAAATAGTACAGTACATGTACAAAATCACGAGCCACAACAGATATCAAAATACTAATATCACAAGTAACAGTAGTGGTAATAATATTAATAGTGTTCACTAAGAGAGAGTTATCCTAATAAAAGCACTAACAAGCAAGGTAAGAATAAGACGAAGTGACTCCACGTCCTTATTTTGATTCGCATTTCTCCTTTACAGCTGCAAACGTCAAATCTTCGGCATCATGAGCCTCTACGACCTTGCCAGTGTGGTTAACCTTCTTCTTCACGGCATCAAATGTTGAAGATTGAAGCATTTTTTGTTTGATACCAGCAGAGTCAGGGGACCTTAAAGAGAGAAAGAGAAGTTAAATTAAAGTGCCCCCAATTAGACAAGTACATATACCACAATCTTTTGCAGCCAAAAAATTTTAACGCCTTTTTTCAAAATTCACAAAAATAAAATCCAATTAAATATTACAGTTCAACATATAAAAAATCCTGAAAATTAAAAAAACCCTGGACGAATGATGCCAAAGCAACCGCTCTATAATATACCATATAGCACAAATTTTTGTGGGCTGTAAATTTGCCCACTTTTTGCACAAATTCAATTTTTTGCAAAATTACACTGTCTGCTATCTTGTACCATGATAAATTAATTTTCATGGATCCTCAAGGCTTCAATAAATCTTCAAAATTGAAAATTTTGCACTGTATGGTATACAGAGCTAAGTTTTGTATAAATTTAAATACAATTATTGTGCATACCAATTGATACAGACCACTTTGTCCTGAGGATTGCCTTCCGCGTTTTCATAGACGAACTCATAAAACACGAAGATGGGCTCAGTGGCAAATTCTGTCGTAATGAGCGCTCTTACAGTTTCCCAATCCTGACCTTCTCCTTCTCTTTCAAGCTCTACTTTGTCTTTGGCTTTTGAAATCCTGCATATGCTGAGATTCGTCCCACCTCTCTTTTTTACTTTACCGTAGGAATCGAGAATGTCGTCTCCTACTTCTATTCCAGAACTTGTCTATAAGGAAAGACACAGAGTTGACCTTGAGACATCTACTTCATGAGAGAACTTACCATTGCTCTTCTTTTTTGGTTTAGTACAAAAGATACGAGTAACTTCTAAGGCCAAAACACCCCTTTCCAACTTTATACCTATCGCAGGGAAGGAGACTGGGAATCGTTTTACCCTAATATGGTCAAAATTGTCTAGCCACGTCACCCTCCCCCTATCTAGTATAACTCCGTATACTTGAAATCTCAAAATAGCTCGTCAGACTTATCCCTAAAAATGGAGTTTCTGTCCAAGTGCTATAAATAGATCGTTGATTGGGACAATTATTATTATGAGGTAATAATCAATGATATTTTATGGGCGTGACAAAGACTATCACTTAATTATTTTTCTGGTCACTTTGAGCATGTTAAAATTCTTATACAAAGAGTTTTTGTTTTACTAAAAGATTGGGATTTGTATTCTGTATCGTTAAGCATTAAAAAAAGTGTATACAATAATTGCAGAAAAGTCCAACTTTCATTCTAATGTGTCATAATGTTAAATTAATTGTTGTTAGGCTTACTTTACCATGCAGTGAGGTAATTCAGACTTGCCTGGCATGTAACTATAATGATACGTTTTAGGTTTATAATTTTGATTATAATTAGTTTCTCAATGGGACTTATTATGAAAATTGAGTATATATAATAGACACAATGAATGATATATAACAGGTTTCTGTAACCTTTTTGTTTGTGTAGCTCATCATCGCCTCCACCAGTTCCAACTGCAGCACAGCGTAAGGACTGCTATCGTGCTCGTGATAATTATTACAAATGTTTAGCGGAAAATGAAGGGAAAAATACAGCTGGGGATAGGATGCCATGTAATGATTTAAAGAAGATATATGATTCTGTTTGTCTCCCATCATGGGTATGTAAATTATAAGCCATTACTCTAAACTAATGAGCCAGCTAGCCTACTAGTCTGGCCTCGCCATCTACTAAAAGTATTGTAAACAAGTGTAATTATAAATATATTATTATGCTTTATAGGTGAAATACTTTGAACGTAAAAGGGTATTTGATCAATATAAGGCCAAAGTTCAACAAGAAGGTTATCAGGAAAAGCAATGATATTGCATTGAACTATAAACTATGAATAGCAAATTTTGAAGTTTTTTTCACATCCAGCAATGCACACATCAGCTATTAATAGAAATAAACGCAATGTCACAAATCTTTGTCAATTTTACCAAATAAGGAAAAAGCAGAAAAATAAGTAATATTATTTGTTATTAATTGACTGCATCATTACATTGAGCAATGCACAAATCAGTATTTTTGTTCTATTAATAGAAAAAAACACAATGTCACAAATCTCAGTCAACTTTACCAAATAAGGAAAAAAGCAGGAAAATTATTATTAGGTATTACGTCATGTTACGTTTGCATAGCTCACGTGACGTGATCTGAAACTTAGGTTACGCCCAGAAAAGACACGCCCCTAAAGGCGGTAAAGAATTTTCAAGCAACATGTCTAAACAGGAGCAACATAAAGCTATATCTGTTTTTCTTTTTCGTGAGCGTCCATATGAAGTGAACCTTGAAGTACGTAATGACAAGATGATTGTCCAAGTCCAAGACGATACAACGACAGATCAATGGAGAAACTCGTTCGATGCTAGACGTGAGTCTAAAAGATAGGTTCTCTCCCTATCATATGTATATATATTGTTTCATCATTTTAAAATAGACATAGAAGAGTTGACAAGAAAAACCGGCAATTTCAAGCAATTCAGAGTATTTGTTAACATGTTGGAGTCGGCAATAAAGAAAGTAAGCCTCTCACATCATTATTAACCTCATTCCAACTCCATTAATTTGCAGGCCAGTGACTGTGTCTCCCTAGAGCTTCTCACATACTCTGATCTTGAAAACCTTCGCCAGCGTAAATCCAACCCCAAGAGTCGTAGTCTTTCAGGTGGAGGCCTGTCGGAATTATCGTGTGACACGCCCAGCAAGAGATATCTTATTTTGACTTACTCTGCAGAATTCGATCGTATCCATTACCCATTGGCACTTCCTTACGCCGGTAAGTCTGACCCTATCATGCTCCAGGAGACCATTCGGGAGCTAAAGAAAGAGCTTGAGCTCTACAAGCAAAAGGTTAGAAGAATAAAGAGGAGAGTGAGAGATGGATTGTATTATATTGTCAGGCTTCATACAAGCAGCCTCAGCAGCAGAAAGCGGCACCAAATTTGTCAAAACTTCAAAGAAAGTAAGTTAAAATGATTGACATACGTACGTACTCCCATACATGTATCTCTCTCTCTTTTCCTTCCTTCCTCCCCTTCCCTCTCTCTCTCTTTTTCTAGATATGAGGCTTTGCTAAAGGAAAAGGAGGAGCTTGAAACGGCATATGAAGCACTTCAAGAAGAAATGGAGGAAATACTGAGAGAAGGAGGAGGAGGAGTAGAGAGTGACCGTTCATCTAATAAGGATACCAGAACACTGAAGAAGATCATCAAGAATATGGAGGTTGATGAAAATGATTAAAGTGTACAGAAACTATGATTCATTTGTAGGAGGACATGTTGAAAGAAAAGACAAAATATCAAAGAGTTTTATTAAAGAAAACGGACGAAATGAAAAACATGGTTGAAGAAGTAATGCATCAGGTATACATGTACATGTACATATTTTTTTCCTGATAGGTAGAAGAGCTAAGATCAACAGAGAGGGCTCTAAACACAAGAGTAAAGAGTCTGACCAATGAAATTGCTCTACTAAAAAGAAAGTACATAGTATATAGCAATAATAATCAATAATAACCATTGTTATTATTAGCTCGTTGGTACGTGGGCGGACTCACAGTGGTTCCTCTGATCACAATAATTATCGGAGAGCCGTCCCCGCCTCTTCTGATTGGCCGTTCACCAAACGATATCGCTCCTCGTCAGCCGAAGGTTGCATTAATAGCAACACAGGAGGTGATCATGGGAGGAGAGAAAGATATCGACATGGAACAGGTAACACGAGATCTCGCACTCCATCGCCAAAAGGTGAGAGGAAATTAGAGAAGGAGAGAAATGACATGTTTTTAATAGGCAAGTCATTTCAACGATTTGATCCAACAAGGTTCGTAATCTTATATACATGTACATGTGATAATAGCATCATTCACATAACCTCTTTTCCTTTCTCCTCTCTACAGCTACGTCCTTAACAAGCGTAAGCAGCAAGAAGAGGTCAATAGAAGATTGGGGTAAAATATTTTTTGTGTGCTGGTATTAAATTATTAATAATAATTTTTATTATTCTCTTATGCAGTAGACATGGCTCAAGATCAAGTTCGGCAGAAAGAAGTCAACTGCCTCCTCGCCCTTCTCCTTCATCACTTAACAGTTCAAGAAGAATTAACATTGGTGAGAGACTATAATGTATTATGTACATGTAATGCTCATTTTGTCTCCCTCCCCTTATTAGGCAAAAGCAGATCATCATCAGGTACATGTACATGTACATGTATGATGTACGATAAAATTATTATTCTTTTTTAACAGTTGGTAGTAGGAGCAGTTGTTCTTCGTGTACATCGTCTGATGATGAAGAGAATGTACGAGTGTATCAGCATGTGAGCAGCAGATATCACGTTAATAATAATAATAAGAAATCGACTCATCATAAAAGTGATAAGAAAAGGTCTGAATGTCTAAATAATATTTATTACATGTACATGTATGTCATGTGTAAACAGGGTTTCCCCACGGGATGTTGGCATAGTGTGCTCCAAAAATTGGGTAAAAGTCCCTGTACTATACAAGGGACTTTGCAAACTTTATCAAAAATGAATAGGAGAGATTTTCTATTGTTATCATTTTTTCTGATACATGTTCTTATGTTTTGTAGAAAATTTGAGCTGATTCTAATTCAATTTGGATTTTTTATGAATTTTTAAAATTGCTCAGAAATTCGGCCAATGACCAAAGACTATAGCGTTTGGTGTTTGGCCAAATTTTTGTTAAGACTTGATACACTTGACATTATTAATTAACGTCTCATTACCACAGAACTGAGAGCAGTAAAGGCACAAAGAGACTAACGCGTCAAGCAAAGTACAGTCCAATCACAGTGAGTGAAGAGCCTCTATCCTTCCTTTCCATGAGGACTTGTATGATATTCCATTCTCAATTACTGTACATGTACTGTAGGCTAATGCAGTTACTAGTAGCACTCCATCAGGCAGATCGTCAAGAAGAGACATTCATAATGGTCCGTGTTACATTTTGTTTTGATGATACACTATTCTTCTTCCCTACCCAATATTGCTGTATAGACTCAAACGTGAATGATAATTCTATGGAGATACAGGAGATTGATGCCAGAATTTGCGCACTGCAGCAATTTATGAAGAAATCACTCGAAACTGTTCGAAATACAAGATCCTGCCCATAAAGTATGACCATTTAAAATTTATATTTTTCTTCTTTAAGTAGATTTGAATAATATAAATTTGAATTTTATTGAGAATAACAGCAATAAATAAATTGATGATACAGCAAATCACAAAATTTATTATTATTATTATTATCATTATTATTTCTTTTTAGGATCTATTTTCTCTGTCTGTCTCGTCGCCTCTCTCTTTGTTTCATTTAACTGTTCAGACATTTTTTTCAACTCATTTTCTATAGCTCTCATTCTCTCTTCCAATAAATCGAGAGACGTCCCCTGCTCATCCTGAGTGCTGTCTCTCTCCTTATCTTTCTGTATTCCTTTCCAGTATTCATAGACTATATAGCTAGCTGCCGTCATGTATATAAAAAACTCTCCAAGCATCTCGGCCCCTAAATCTACAGCTTTTTCTTGACTGAGGGGCTTGAATTCAACAGACCCCTTGGCACCCATTAGTCTAAATTTGACAAACATTTCTAATCTGTGTAGTCCTGTAATGAAAAAAAATTAACAATAATTTTTATGCGTGGGTGTTTGAGTAGGCGTAGTCTAAATTTTGTTATTATCGTTAGTTACTTGCCTTGAGCGGGAGGGATACAGATATATCTGCGGAAGAACTCGCTTCTCTTGGCAGTTGATTTAAGCTGGTTTGCTATAGGTTTAGTGACTTGCTTCATTCCCAGATAAAGGAGTTTTCCTAGCGGGAATACCACCATCTTTAATTAAAGTAAGACACACCCACCTCATAACCACGCCCTTTAGTAATTATTATTTCAATACAGTTTATGTCAGTACACAAAGTGTTAGCCACAACCATGCAACCCACGATAGCTTTTACAAATAACACTGGATATAAACCTACAGTCTCACTTTAAGCTGATTGAACCTGGAACCAATGGAAAAATTTTTGAATGGGTTAATATAATACAACCCTGTACTAAAGAGTAAAGACATAGATGTATTAATGTAAACCCCATTTGAATTTTAGTGATGGGCGGTACCAGATTTTTCCATTTTGGTTCAATACAGAGTACTTCACCTGAGAGTATTGATGGTACTGAGGTATGGTTCTGATTACCTGTAGTATCTAGCATGGAATAGCCACATGTAGCCATTTTTAATTAATAATCACTCAATATTTATGAATAATAATTAGCTGATTAATAATTACATAGATATTAGAGTATAATCTAATTTATACTCTATTATCTATGAATAATTATTATTACTAGTTATAATAGTTAATTAATGCTTATTGGGTGTGGCTTCCGGAACCGAAACTTCGGTCGATATTACTTCAGGATTCGGTGCCAGGAAATCAAGTACCAGAACTGTGGAACCGGATACTTTGGAACCGATACCGCCCATCACTATTAAATTTCCTCTGTTTATTAACCAGTAGACACAATAAGGCTTTCAATGTTATGATTTAAATTGATGATAAATCAATAATTATAAAAATGACTATTCAATATAAATAATCAACAATCAGTATAGTCATGAGACTACAATCAGTACTGCTGGTTATAAGCATTAGGGAACCACAGTTTCAGTCTATAAGCGTCCTCTCCGTTGAGATAATAACGATGGAGATACTTGTCACGTACGAAACCCAAGTTCTGGTATAAGCTAAGTGCGGCCATGTTGGTTACCTCAGTCTCAAGAACAATTTCATGACAATCTTTTGTGATCATTGTTTCTATGCTACGTCTAACTAGATTTGAGCCTGAGAGAGAGAAGGAAAGAGAGAGGGAGAGAGAGAAGGAGAGAGAGAGAGAGAGAGAGAATGAAAGGTATTATGTAACACATACATAAAATTCGAGTCTCTAAATTTACCAATTTTCTTTCTTCTGTAGTTTTTGTCGACGGCTAGCATGGCAATGTATCCTCTGTTGGTTGAGAAATGTCTGGACTCTGTTTTACAAACAATGGCTCCAACACACTTTTCATCCTCACTATATGCCTAAATGAAAAATAACATGAACACATATGAGGTGCATTATTTACACCAAAGCTATCCCTGGCCTACAATGACTATGTACCGTATAATGGGTATATTTCACAGAGATTTAATTTCGCTAATTTTGCAGTTTTAAAAAATTCGTGAAAATTTTAAAATTTTAAAGAAAAATGCAAAATTTCTTCTTGTGAATACCTTAAGCCTACTATTTTTAGCGTCTACTAAATTTAGCTATATTAGCGAGAGAGCTTTAAACTGCTAATTAAATAGACGCCAAAATAATTATTATTCATTATAATGGTTATTATTTATAGTTAATTTGGTTAAAAACACTAAAATTAGTAACGCTAAACATGACTTTTGCTGATTTCACTAAAATTAGTAGACGCAAATAATAGTAGGCTTAAGGTAGATTGAAAGGTGATTTTTGTGAAATATTTTCTTTGGAAAATATACCCCCTACACGGTAATTTCCTTACCAATATGCAAAGATGCGGCCAGTTGTGTATAAAGTATCTGTACGTGTAAATGGAGTAAGGTTCTGAGAGATCAGCTTTCATCAGTCTTATTATGTCGGGCATCTGAGCCTCAGAGGTGTACTGGACGTATTTTATACCCTCACTCAAGGCATCCGGTACGTCTATGGCTCGCTCATTCACTATAATACTAGTGGATTCTTCTCTCGTAGTCTCGTTGGGTGTCTCGACCTCGTCGATACTCTCAGCCGCCATCATTTTTAATAGTCTGCGTGGGTGTTTAGGATATGACAGCCCCGCCTTCTTGTCCCACCCTACTTCACATGCAATATAAAAGTTTGTTTCTTCTTGGCTTAAAATAATGAAAAAGTACTTGCTTTGATAATAACACTGATTAGAAGTGCTTCTAGTGGCATAGTGCAATGTCAGGTCTAGCCCCTAATCGCTACAGAGACGACCCAACGGGTCAACTAACCAGCTTACCAAAGCCTGGAGAAGAGACCGCTGAGCAGAGCCAAGAAGAGGAAGAGGACATCATGGAAATGGACGAGGAAAAATTCGAGAAAACAGCTCGACTGTGCTCCAGTAAGTGTCAAGGCATGCTTGTTAAATTTCCCAAGCTGCGTGCTATTGTATATCTTGATAGCTGTTTGTCAACATAGCTGTCTAATGGGACCCAGTTGTGCATTACATTACTCGCCGTATGGTATTGCATTAGATAGTTTGTTAGACAAACTTGGAAAGAATACTTATGTGGGTTGTGCATTGAGAAAGACAGTGCTGGTGTCAGCTTTTTTTAAGAAAGAGAGAGAAAGAAAGAAAGAGAGGAAATGGAAGAAGAAGATCTGGATAGAGTAAATGCTTCTCTTTATACAGTTAGGAAGAGGTCAGTGGAAATCCCTCTGGACTATCTTCTCTCAGGGATGGTATTTCTCTCAGGTAAGGAGAATGAATGATATGTGATTATTAGAGAAAGGTCAGCCAGGGAGGAGCTAAGGACTTGATAAATGATAAGAGTGGCCACATCAAAAATAATGAAGTTGTTTTATGTCATCAACACTCTTCCATCTTTCCATCCTTCTTTTCCTCTCCCTCCCCCTCTGTACTTCCCCATTTCAAAGGTGGTAGGGATAATCGTAATGGCCCTATCCTCTCCATTGTCCAGCCAGTGGATGCTGATATTGACATGCTCATGGAATTAAGGAATGATGAGATTACTGACATGCTTTCGTACTTCACGTTTGTACCAAGGTACAGAGCTAGCAATAGTAATAATTGTACATGTAATGATAATAATGATAATAGTTATCTCTCTCTTGTTCTATTTTGTTTATAATTCTCTTTTGGGTTCTCCCTTTCTTTCATAATGTTTGTGCTTTCATAATGTTTGTGTTTGCGGCTTAAGTGTGATGATGATAATAATAATAATAATAATAATAATAATAATAATAATGGAGTGCTTGTTTCCTGTACTTTTGCATTTAGAAAGTGCTTTTGCTTACAATGGCCACAGGCTGTTATGACTGTTATACCCACACGCTGTGTACCTTTAGTGCATTAGCACTTACTAGATGTTGGTAATATGAATAAATCCATTTCCATAAACACCTCTCTCTTAATAATCAATTTTCTGTTGGTGTGTATGTTTTAATGCACCTGTCAATTGCTGATTTACATCTGTGTATTTAATCTACCTGTATGTGTCGATAACAATAATTATAGCAAGGCTGCAAAAGTCGTGGCAGCCATTTTGTTTGGGGGTGAATCCTACTTAGTAACGCTACTGCATTACTAATTATGCATAATATGGAGGTGTCATTAATAAGTGCCATTAAGCTGGGTTCAGAATATTTGCTTTGTGACCAGAACTCGGCCCTATTCTTGCGTTTATCATTGCGTTATATTACAAACCCAGCTTCACAGTGATGTGACGTGACCTATAGGCTTTTCCAAGGAGTGATCTAACTGATTTAACTGGAAGTGCTATATCCACAGTATAATAGGGGACTATCAACACATTATTATAGCCACTGGGCGTGTGGGAAGTGACCTAATGGGATTAGTATTCTAATGATAGCTGTGACATTATTATTCTGAGGTGTAACCCTATGTAAATTCAAAATAATCAACAGCGATAATTATTGTTTTGATAAGAGGAGGCTGAGTTATGAGTGAGATCATTTTTCCAAAGAATAGTAAGAATGGTTGTTACTCGACCATTATGGATCGCAGGTATGATCTGGCCCACAGGTATGATCGGTGCATCCTAAATGTGTGTGTTAGCTCAGCTTAACTGTTTGTGTTTCCCAGCCTTAATGGTACATTTGGTGATGCTAATGCCAATTTTGTACACATAAAGCTATTTTAAACTTCCCCCATGAGGAAATGTGTACACATGTGTCTTACATGTGATGGGAGTAAGAGGGCGATTAGGCCTATAGCTGGTTCCTTTGTAGGACTGCTGGATAGCTCAAATTATGATTATTAGCTCCCTTTTATGTATTGGGCTTCAGTTGTGAACTAGCTGTAACTATTGTGTCTGAGATTAAGACTCTTGCATAAACATGTACATGTATGGTATAATGCAGAGTAGGCTGAGATTATATAGACATAATTTCCAACCATTTTGCCCTCAGTTATTTTGGTGAGATACTGTGACTTTGTTTGAAATGAAAATAAAAGAGAGTGTGTATGTGGGCTTAACCAAACTCTGACATTGGAAAATCTATTATTATTATTATTATCATGTCAAAACAATTTCCTAGAATATGGCTAAATAAATTAAACTCTCGTCATCAAACATGGCGTCTGCATGGAGTGTACATGTAATTTGTCCTGTACATGTACATATGGAGGCAATTATATCAATTATTGTGGGTATGTACTTAATTATGGGCCTGCATTGTATTGGCTGGTTTGTTTATTATGATCTGCCAGCTGCTAATTTGCAAGTATTTTAATTGGAATTGGTAATAACAAACAATATGTTACTCTGTGTCATTTGTAGTGAGGAAATCAGGAAGAGAAAGTTTACCGTCGTCATAGCAGCAGATGAAATGTATGACTTCTTCTTGAAGAATATCATAATGGCTTTGAATAACTTTCAAGTATGCTCTTGATTTTTAATGAATTGAAAGGGATTTTATGTAAAACTTTCTATTTTCTCTCCTTTTTCCTGTCTCTCTCTCTCCCTCCCCCCTCTCTCTCTCTCCTCTCTTCTTCTTCTCTCTCTCTTCTTCCCTCTTCCCCCTCTTTCTCTCTCCTTCTCTCTTTCCTTTCCTGTCTCCCTCAGATTGAGAGTAAAGTCATCCACATGGTATACGTTCTCTCAAACTCTCGCAACATTGAGTCCACTAACATACTCCAATGGGCTTATGGCATTGAACAGAATGGCAAAGATAAAGGAGCCCCTGCCAAGGAAGGAGAAGAAGAAGAGGTTGGAGTAGTACCAGAATCTCCAACACCTAAACTAGTTTTACCAGTAAGTGGACATGCATGCACTAATGGCTGGAATGACTATACTACAAACACATTAATGATCTGTAGTTAATTATATTAAGAAAACACTGCACGAGTGTCTCCCATACTCTTTATAGTACCTGTGTCTTGCTGAGTTGTACCATAGAAATTAGACTAATATTTGTGGTTGCACACACACACACACACACACACACACACAGATGCATGAAGCCTGTACTAATTGAACTACATGTATAGTATAGTATCTGAGTGTATTGTGTAAATTAAATTGGGTCCAGTATGTTTGCAATAGTGGCAGACTTGTTTACTCTGTTAATGTTGTTCCTGTTTTAAAGAGAGAGAGAGAGAGAAAGCTCACACAAGTTTATCTTTGATGTTTATGCATACTTAAAAACCAATTAATAATTACTGTTAGTTTTGCTGTATGAAACCACACACAGGGAGAGTTGTTATTGGTTCTTTGTTATTGGTAATTCTTTTGTTATTGGTTTCTGTTCTTTTCTAGTATTCCTTCAAAGGCTCATCTGCTGAGCTGTTTGAAGACATTCCTCAGAATCAGCTCACACAGGAGTTTGGTGGAAGTTTCAGTTACATTCATCAGGACTGGGTCCGGTTCAGAATGGTACGAGTATGAGAGTATGGGAATGTAATGCAGTGTGCTAGCGTGATCTAATGAGAAGTGTTTGAATGAACTTTTGTGGTTTTTTCTTTTGATGTGGTTCATCTTTTGAGAGATAATCCACTGAGAGTTTGTCATCAAACCAATTTGTCTCTCTCTCCCTCCCTCTCTCTCTCTCTCTCTCTCTCTCTCTCTCTCTCTCTTTCTCTCCCTCTCTCTCCCTCTCTCTCTCTCTCTTTCCTCTCTCTCCTCCAGCAAGTGGAGCCATTCATTTGTGATGTGGTTGGTGTCTCTAAGAGATTAGCTCAAGCCATTGCTCCCTTTACCAAAGAAGACCTACCGGATACTTTGAAGGTATGTCAAGCATGTACAATTGTACATGTACAATTGTACATGTACATGTATGCTTGTACACATAACCATAGTTATGGAAAAAGGAATGACATATAACCAGTTTAAATTGTGACATTAACCCCATCATAATTATTATTATATCCTTATTATTATTATTATTATTATATTATTGTTATTTTATTGTTTTTTCTTACATGTACATGTACATGTACGTTTTATGACTAATTTAGGGAGGGACAGACGCTTTGTCTCGTTTGATTTCCTAAATATAATTAATGATAATTATTATTTCAGCATATTTTATGTTCCGTAACAATTAAATAATCTCATTACTATTTTCTATGGATTATTCGTTATTACAGCAACATTCTTAGAGTTGATCTTGGCGTCATTGTTACGTAGTCATGATGTCCCTGGCTACATTTTGTCTGTCATATCAATGGCACATAGTACAATATTTAGAACTTCTTCGAATATAATTTTTTTTGCCAGCTAGTAGATTTTTTTATTCATGAGCATCCTGGGATTTTTGAAAAAAAATCAAAAGCCGATTTTTAGAAAGATCTGGCTATAGCCTGTGGTCTTACCAAAAATTGGGCCTAAATTTTTATTACATTTTCTGATACATACTGATGTCTTTATACTATGTAGAAAGTTTGAGATGTTTCCAAAAATTAATTTTCAAGTTATGAGCATTTTAAAAAATAATCCAATTTTTGAAAAAAAGTAAAGGCTATATCTCATATTTTTCAAAAATGGCTCCAAAATCACCTCAAATTTTTATTACATTTTCTGATACACATTGATGTACATATACTTATGCTGTGTAGAAAGTTTGAGATGTTTCCGAAAAATAATTTCCAAGTTATGAGCATTTTTAAAATAATCCAATTTTTGAAAAAAGCAAAGGCTATAGCTCATATTTTTTCAAAAATGGCTCCAAAATCACCCCAAATTTTTATTACATTTTCTGATACATATTGATGTACATGTACTTATGCTGTGTAGAAAGTTTGAGCTATTTCTGACAAGTAATTTTCAAGCTATGAGCATTTTCAAAAACGAGCCAATTACTGTACATATAGCTTTCTACTTATTGCTTCCTACTTAGTGATGCTAGTAGCCTAGTACAGGGTAATTCATCAAAAATGTCTAGGAGATTTTTCTGTTTTATATACATGTTCTTACATGTTGTGGGGAAATTTTGAGCTTTTTCTGGTCAAAATCAATTTTTAAGTTTCAAAGTCGACTGCTACATTACTTAGCATGCTTTGTGTGAGAAATATGTACATGTAAATAGAGAAGAGAAGAATAGACGTAATTTGTTCATTACTCATTAAAGAGATTCTTATGATTGTGTTTCAATATAGGAAGCAGAGGAGAGCTTAAAAATCCACCACTTGCAAAGAAGGAAGACGTTTGAGAACCTTCACGTTGAGGAGCTTGCATCAGAAGGAGAGAAGATCAAGGAAAGGATGTCTTCTCCTTCCAAAGAGTTACTCCAGGATAATCCAGACTTTAGCGCCACGCTGGACACTGTTGATGTACTAATGAGTCGAGTGGAGAGTGTCAGATCAAGACTGGATCAACTCTGGCATGATCGGAACGAGAAATTAGAAGCTAATCTCAAAAAGAAGAAATTTGAACACGAAGCAAAGCAGGTAATGTCTCCACTCCCTCCTCTCTCTCCCTCCATCCCTCTTGGTAATTTTAAATGTGGTTGGAATGTATTGTATGCTTTTATAATTTGTGACCAGTTTACTGTAAATCCATTACTAATTACAATCCATTTATTTTAGCTATTGTGTGGAATGTTATGTATGCATTGATAATTTGTCATAATTTGTCGCCAGTTTACTCTAAATCCATTGATAATTACATGTATATGTACTATCCATTTATTTTAACTATTTTAATCATTGACCTAATTTTCGTTGAATTTAATGGACATAAATTTGATTGTCAATCTGCAATTGGTTACCTTAGTTGTAAAAAATGTTAAAGATAAAGGTCATTTAGTTATTTGGGTTTACAGTATTTGTGGGATTATTATTTTTAATATTATTATTTTTACTTGTCCATTCTCTCTTTTATTATTATTATTAATGCTCCTCTTTATTAGATTCTTGACTGGTTTGAGCAGTATGCCGAGGAGTTCTTTGAGACACATACTGAGATCGGAGAGTCCTTGGAAGTAGCTCAAGCTCTCATCACTGAATTGCTCGAGTTTGAAGAAAGCACCAAAGTAAATAAATATCCAACCTTTCACTCATCAATTAATAGCACAAAAATTTATGAGACAGTCTTCTAAAAATCACCATAATAATAATAATTATTAATTCTCATATGTAATCTTTAGTGGACAAACTTTCACAATTTCCACTGCTGCAAATTACAAACCTACTTTTGCTCTTTTTACAGCAAATTATGAACAAGACAGACAGACTATTGAGGAATGCTTCTGAGCTTGACAACCTGAAGCATTTGGGATGCGACGTGAAAGACGTGGCAGAAAAAATACAAGGACAAATGTTCGACTTTAAAAGCAAAATGAAAGAGAGAAAGAAGTTTCTTGACAACGCCGTGAGTCTCCATAACATAATGGAAAAGGTTAGCTAAATAATTAGGTATACACTTTAAGTTAGAATTTCTTCTCCGATCTTTTTTCTCCAGTGTTTAACATGGTGCATTGAAGGAGTAGATTTCCTGAGTAATTATGACATAATGAGCATAGACCAGGGACTCATTGATGCTGGTGATGTTAAGGAGCAGTTGGATGATTTCCAGGCCCAGTTCCCTCCGCCCAGCACCGAAGAGATATCTCTCCTTACGGAGGCTGTTGCGTCAATGGATAGTCAGTGGACCAGCAAGGAAGGCTTTGAGTTTGCACTCAATAGGATCAAAGAGCTTCACGATCGCTTTGCTTTTTATAACAAGCTCCTCGAGGAAATGACGAAAGAGCCTGAAGCATCTCCATCCTCCTCACCAAACCAGGGCACCGTCGACCTTCATTCGCTTCATCCCGAGCAATACTTGGGACGGACTAACCGTCGGTTGAGCACCGACGGGAAGGCAGTCCAAGTCAGTGTACTGGACGTTGACAAGAGAGCAAATCAAGCACTGGACCTCCTTGAGAAGACGGACAAGAAGATAAACAAGAAGACTAAGGAAGAGGAGGCCGAAGGAGAAGGGGGGGCCAGTAGTGGGAGTAACAACTGCAGTAATGGGAGCGATGAGGACTGTGTTAGTCTTTTAGAGTTTCTGAGTGAGGTGGACAGGACCGAGACTCCACCTACTTTGGATCTATTAGATCTTCCTGAGGCTCGCTCCCGGTCTTACTCGGCACCTGATGAATCGACTGATGGGGATGGGCCTGGTAGCTTGAAGAGGTCGAGGAGCTTAACAAGAAAGAGCCGACAGAAACTTATATCACCATTACCTGTGAGTGCCTGTGCTCACTTTCAAATGCACCATTATTTTTTTTTAATTTTTAGTCCCCAAAACCTGATATTTCCGGTCCTTCTAATTTTAAATTTGAGGAAGAAACCAAGCCAGTTAGCCTTGACGATGTAACTGTAAGTTTTTAAAGCTTTACTGCAATTTTTAACGATTTTTAAAACTTTTTCTCTAGGTTGAAGAGAATCCTGAAGACATAGAAACCCAGACAGCACATGCAAAACATAGGAGGCACGTTTTTAATGATATTCATGATCCTCCCCGCCCCTTCCCGCGTTGCATGCAAACCCACAATAGCTCTAGATAAACTTTCACCATGCCTATATAAATACTCCTCCACTATGAAGGTTTGGAAGTGATTGTGGCTTTCTTCTTTCTCTAGCATCGATCGTCCCCGGATCAGATCTGTTAGTATGAAGTTTTGCCTTACTCTCATTTCTTTAGTTACTGGTGACTCCCGCTGCTGTGCGCACGGTAGAGATGCCTCAGGTCCATAGGGTTTATATAGATGTTTCCCTACCTTTCTGTAGGTTCTAGGTAGTGTTCTTCTTCTTCCTCTTCTCCCTTCCCTTCACTTCCATGGCTCCTACCAGAGAGTAGCTTGCCATTTTTTCTTTTTCAAGACAGTCCTCATCTTTTTATTTGCAGTCCTCATCTTTTTATTTGCTTGCAAGAGAACTTGTCCTTTTTAGATGATCCTTTTTTTTGCTTAGTGCTGATAGTGTATCACAGTTACAGGCCCACAGTACTAATCTTTGCTCTTTTTCTTTATAATAATTATATAGAAGGCTGATGGAAGAACTACTAACCACAGAAGAAGTATACATAAAAGACTTGGAGCATATTATTGCTGTAAGCTCAGTTGTATTTACCTTGCTAGGACCTGTTTCTGATGGCCTTAATATTATAGAACTATGTGCCTCACTTTCTAAAAGACAATGAGCTTCCTCCCAGCTTGAGAGGCAAATCCGAGATTTTCTTTGGACTCTTACCAGAGTTTTTGAAATTTAGTAGAGAGTAAGTTTGAAATACCCAGGCATGGTAGATAACCATTTTTTATCATTGCACGTCTCTCCTAGCACTGTGCTGCCCAGGATACAGAAGTGTGTCAAAGCACCTATCAAAATGGGACTTGTTTTCCTTGATCACGAAGAGGTTAGAAGACATAAACCTATCTTTTAAAAGTCTTATTTTAATATTTCTTTTAGCAATTTTTACGATATGCAATGTACTTTAAGAACAAGCCCCAACAAGATGAACTCATTGCTATGGAAGATGAATTCTTTAGAGTAAGGACACACATTAATAAAACTTACTAATTCTTTTTTCATTCTATATTATAGGAGCTGCAAGAGAAGATAGGAGACTCGTTACTGGTCAATGCATACATGATAAAGCCAATTCAACGCATGACCAAGTACAAGCAGTTCCTTGATGTATGTTGCTATCTCTTTGTCTCACTAAAAGATTATTATTATAATGATAGGAAATGGTGAAATACTCGACGAAAGGAAAGGAAGTACACGAAGTACAGAAAGGAGCCAAGAAAGAATATTTCGGAAAGCTAAAGGTAATAGTCCATTATAGCTATATACTATTATTAATCAGTGTTGCTGTTCTTGTAGGAAGCGTTAAAAATGGTTGACTTTGTACTGCGTCATGGCAATGATTTATTAGCTCTTGAGTCACTGAAAGGATACACTGGGGACATAGAGCACTTGGGAAGGATACTACGAGTGGGTGACCTCATACTGGTGGATGGTTTCACAAAACACAAGAGAAAACTGTTCCTTTTTGAGAGTGCCCTCCTCTTTGCAAAGACAAGGAAAGGAGCAAGGGCTGGACCAACTGGATCAGAAGTGTACGACTTTAAAATGATGTTTAGGGTATGTTTTAGTATACAAGCTATTATTTATGCTGTGCTTTGTGCTGTTTTGAGTATGTTCATTATAAATTAATTGGTCATTTTTAGACATCGGAATTAATGCTGAGAGAACAAGTTCCAGGTCACGAAACCAGGTTTGCTCTAGAGATGACAAAACGTAAAGATATTATCTGCCTTCAAGTAAGAGACAGTGTGCATCAGGAATTATTACCATTATTATTTGCACATTTAATACTGAAGGCTGAAACTGTTTCAGAGAAGCAGCAGTGGGTACAGGAAATTTGGGATCTATTCTTTGCTCATATGCTAACACTAAGAGGTAGAATTAACTTGACAATTTGGAATTTTAATAGCAATTTAATGATAATTTTTTATGCATTAGATGATAACCTACAAAGTCATGGAACCAAAGCAATGTCTGGAGTAATGACAACAGGCTCTGCAACACTGACAAGAGGACGGCCTCTCTCTTACAGCATGAGGAAGAGAGTTCATTCTGTTGCTGCCAACAGGACTATGGCCATTCCTGAATCAACATCAAGAGTAAGAAGCCTCTTTTCCATTCATCCTTCTCTACACACACTTTCTTTCTCTGTGTCTCCTCTAGGAGTCTCTTTCATCAGTTGGTTCTGCTACAAGTCTCAAAGATTTTGCTGAGTACATTCGTAACAAGAGAGACAGTAGAAACTTTCCTTCTCCATATTCTTCCAATATCCCCATATCCCCGCGCTCTTCAATGGCTGTACCTTTTGGCGATAGGAATAGAATGTCAACTCTGTCGACAGTGTCAACTCTCTCAAGCATGAGTACAGTATCAGGTAGGACTATTTTAGTATAACAATACTTCATTTCTTTGTCTTATAAATGCATGCCTTGCTTTTTTATTCACTATTCAAATTGCTCTGTTTATCATTTTTATGTTATAGGTGATACCCTTGCCTCTACTCCCCGCTCAAGTACTTTAAGTCAGTCGGCTAGCAACACAACTATTAGTAGTAGTAACAGTGATCAGGAGATGGCATCAAAAGGCAACTTCACAGCATCACCATCGCTTCAAGAAGTACCACTAGATGAGAGCATTAAATTCTATAACACTCCTCTGTGATTCAGTGCATGGCATGAGAGGATCGTGCACTTTGTGTTTGTTTCAAGAAACATTATAATACTTATTTTCGTGGTGTTTATATATTAATCTTATTTTGTATTCATTCATTTAAACAAAATATAATTTTTCACTCTAAAATCAAGTTTAAATTATTGTCTTATATTTTATTGCCCGGACTAAGGACTTCAATCCAATAGCCATCGGGATCTTTAATGAAAGCCAGCCCTTTCATTTTACCTAACATAAGAAAGAACTATAAAATTATATTACCAGTATTTAAGCTGATCAATCAAAATTGGATTTCTTATGAATGTGAAAAAACACAATTTTCATCAAAAATGGGTCCGAGAGATTTCATCATTTTTATAACTTTTTCTGATACATATACATGTACTTATGTTGTGTAGAAAGTTTGAGCACATTCAAATCAAAATTGTATTTTTTATGAATTTTTAAAGTTGCTCCAAAATCGGGCCAAAGTAGGTGCTTAAGGGGATCTCGCTCCAGAATGAGATCATTTGATTCAAACAATTTCTGCAGAGCTATCTCAGAAGCTCGTCTTACCCTAACCTAACCTATTCATTTTATCTTATTATTTTTCTCTCACTTATTTCCGTTATTATTATCTCTTTTTTTTAACCTACTATTTATCCCTGTGTTATATCTATTTTGTTAAAAAAAATGTTTATTTAAGGGCTCAGTTCCCTCCTACAATGTACTATAGTACAGGGTTCTTGACCAAATTTTGCCAAAAATGACTAGGAGAGAATTCCCCATTTTTATAACTTTTTCTGATACATATACATGTTCTTATGTTGTGTAGAAAGTTTGAGCACATTTAAATCAAAATTGTATTTTTTATGAATTTTTAAAGTTGCTCCAAAATCGGGCCAAAGTCCCTGTACTATAGTACAGGGTTCTTGACCAAATTTTGCCAAAAATGACTAGGAGAGAATTCCCCTTTTTTATAATTTTTTCTGATACATATACAAGTTCTTATGTTGTGTAGAAAGTTTGAACTGGTTCTGATCAAGATCGTATTTTTAATAAATTTTTAAAGCTGCTAAAAATCAGACCAAAAACTATGATGAACAGTATTTCATAGTTATGAAAAATCTCCCTTCTTTACATGCTTTTATCATGCAAACTAAATCTAATCAAATACAATGTAGTATTTCTTAAGTTTGCTCAACAAAGCATGTACTTATGGTAAAGTTTTATTCAGGCTCACCTCCGTCAGGTTTCTTTACAAATTCAACCCCAAGGGCTTCAAATCTCTCACAGGCTTTGTAAACATCAGGAACAGATATACCAATATGCCCTGTGTCATCAAAATAAGTGTTATTTCTTGTCAGTGCATGCTTTATTACCAAATCCTCTTGGATCTGTATTGCCATTGTGATATGTTACGTTGGGATCAGTCTCACTCCCCCAGTTACTGCAATAATGAGATAGAAAATAATGCATTATAAGCTCCACCATGGCATACAGCAGCACTGGCACTACACATTAAAAGAATGCTGTACTAACTGTGTGAGCTCAATTGTTGCCTTTCTTGAGAAGGTCCAACTGTGCCTTTCATCTTTGTCAGTTGGTATGTCCTCTGCATTTTCATAACCCAAAAAATAAAGACTGAATTTCATCTCAGGAAAGTCTAATCTATTAAGCAACCTAGAGGAAGAGAGATTGCAAACTTTCAATGCTCTTTGAAGTTTCTTTGTTACCTCATTCCTAATATTCTAGTATAGAAATCCAGTGATTTCATGGGATCCTTAACTCTCATCATAGTTTGCTGCATGATGAAATCCTTGCAGGATTTGTCTGGCTCTCCACAGTGGCTGAGATAGTCAGGAAAAGGGACTTCCTCGCTAGCGGCCATTTTTATTGCTCAGGGTCGGTAAAAAAAGGAAGGGCCTGGAGCAATTTTAATTATAATTTTTCAAAGGATGGAGCAAGAAGGGGAGCAGCTCAAAAGCGAGATAGCAGCTAAGTTAGACCTCTCTGTCATACGTTACAGTCGAGTATGGGAGGATTGTGATATTCTTTGCAGAGGACTTGATATACAGCCCAGTGACGTGGTGCTATCTATAACGAGGTAGTAACTTTGAACTCTATCATAATTATATCTGTGGTTCTTAGTCTCGCTAGCCAGACCATTTCCCAGCCTAGAGAATGGTCTGGCTAGCGGGACTATTATGAATCAATAGGTGTGATAAAATTATTAATTACAATTCTTTGTAGCTCTGGGGACAATGTACTTAATGTGTTGCTGAAGAAGCCAAAGAAAATATGCAAGTCACTATCTAGTAAATCTAATTAAATTTGGAATGTCATGCAGATGCTGTTGATATGAGTCTGGCTCAGAATGCATTGCTGGAGCTAAAACTGGGAGCTATAAGAATATCTCTACCTCATGATGAGTTCCTTCAGCTATTGGGTGAAGCTCCATCAACTAAAAGGTACTCATATGTAATGCATGCTTTATTCTCTTGTAAGCATAATACCGTACTACTACTACTACAGGTTGGTGCTCTATGAGTCAGTCAAGCCTTCTTTACCTAAATATGCACAGGTATTCTGCTAATTATTAAGAAATTACAAGCACTACTCATCTCATGTTTACACAGGAATTTTGGGACTCCAATCTTTCTGTCATTGAGTCTAGCATTGCCAATGAAGGAAGACTAGAAAAATATGTAAAAGTATTCAATGAGAAGCATCTGCCTAAAGTAGTGTCATCTGAACTGCTGGATGCATTCTTTGAGAGTCAGTCAATTGAAGAACAGAGAAAAGCTTTTAATCAATTTCCATTGAAAGAGTTGAAGGATTTGACAAGGCAAATAAGCAAGCACCTTTATTAATTAGAGTATAACAACATGTCTCTCCTTTAGCTGGTATTTTTCAAGAAAACAGCTTGAAAGAGGACGCTCTGAGGCTCAGTTTGAACATGTTAAGATGGACTCTGATGAAGTTGGAGAAGCATTAGCTAAAAGATACTTTGTTGTGGCAGAGAACATACCGGCTCATGACAACTTTTACTTCAGTCTGTTCAATAGAGGGATGAAGGGATATGACCCTGCTAATAAGCCAAACTTTGCAGCTCCATATCTAGCAAAGGACAACTATGAGGAGCTTAAAGTTAGCAGAAAGATCATGAGCATCAATTGATGATTCCTATAGGGATTGATAGATCGAGTGGTTGTATGTACCAGCACAATTGAAGAGCAAGTGAAGCAGATACCATTAGGAACAGTGACTAAAGTAGGCATCTATTAGTGATTCATGTGCTACTCTATCTCTCACTGCAGGCTAATCTGTCTGATATATTTGAGTACACTAGTGAAGAATTGTGTTGTGGCATTTGTGAGTCACTTGCTAGTGTTATGGCTCCGGGTGGACGCATTGCTTACTGGGAGCTACTCAACACCCGACCTGCACCCTCTAGTGTGTTTCATTATCATGAGAAACTCTCAAAGGAGCTTCATGCAGAGGACAGGGTGTTCTATTACAAGTCATTCAATGTTTATGAAAAAAAATAAACATGGGCGTGGCTCATTAACAACAATAATTAATTTTCATTTTTAACCTTTTAAAAATGGCTTCCAGTAGCAAAGAAAATTTTCAAAGTCTCAAGGAGAGGCTCTCAGCTTACAGGCAACAGAAACAGAACAGAAAAGAGACAGAGAAGGAAACCAGTGAAGCCTCAAAGACCCAAACTGAGCAATATCTCACTGACCCCATTCTAAAGACTGATGATGATGATGCTAACACAAACCGCCCCATCACCATCTCAAGGACAAAGAAAACTGAAACCAACTCACCAATACCTTCACCAGCAGCACCAGAGACTCAGCAAGCACAGACTAAAACCAGCTCCTCTTCCAACAGTTGGCTGGTGGTTGGCCTCAAGACATTACTCTGGTTACTTTTACTTGGGTTCTTCATAGAAATTGAGTTTGGGGTTGCTTTTTTCATAAGCTCCCTCTTCTACTGGATGTACAGCTTCCTTCGAGGGAGCAAGAGAGACCCAAAGGAGTTGAGTGCCTACTCTGTCTTTAACAAGAACTGTGAGAGGATTGATGGGACGTTAGCGGCTGAACAGTTTGACCAAGAGTTGAGATATGGGCCCACTGCAGTGCGGAGATGACAATAACTATTGAGGCCTTAATGAATACATGTTTATAAATTTGTAAAAATGGTACATGTAATGACCATGCATCAGCAATAATTTTTTTAAATTGGACTTTCATTTAGAACAAATTTCAACAAATTTTTCAGACATTCATAAACTGTTGCAAGAAATAGCCTCAACTTTGTACATATACATATAGCATGATCATAAAATGCAAATTCAATCATTTTTCTTATCTCATTGTTATGTCACTGCATCGCATGTCAAGTGCAATAAGTTAAACTGTCTCACTAAATACGACTCGAGTAAATTCTCAATGTCCTCCTGCTTGTAATCCTTGACAATGACACTCTTCCCATTCTCTGCTCCTCTTATCATGGCTGAAAGTCCTATGCAGTAAATGCACACAAAAATGGAAGTTTTTTAATTAATTAAGCAAAAATTTTAGGCTCACTTTTCTCGGACGGTTTGAAGAGACAGAGTATATTGGTATTCAACTCTATAGCCCTCAAACCTTATACTTAACTCCAAGCCTAACACAGCCCAGGCTTCCCTTGGAGTCCAAGGGAAGCCTGGGCTGTGTTACCTCAGCTGTGGTTGCAGTATCATGCATGCAACCATAATAATTTTTAAGCAATGCGCATGCGCACAAGATTGCCGCAGGGCCGAATCTTTTTTCGTCGATAATTTGTCAAGGATGGAAAGCAGCCAGCGAGAAGGGGAGCAGCTCAAAAGTGAGATAACAGTTAAGCCAGATTTCACTGTCATACGTTACAGTCGAGTATGGGAGGATTGTGTTATTCTTTGCAAAGGACTTGATATACAGCCCAGTGACGTGGTGCTATCTATAACGAGGTAGTAAGGGTCTGTCAAGTTTAGAATTGTGACAAAATTCATTACAATTCTTTGTAGCTCTGGAGACAATGTACTTAATGTATTGCTGAAGAAGCCAAAGAAAATATGCAAGTCAGATCTAATTAAATTTATATTATGTCTTGCATGCAGATGCTGTTGATATGAGCCTGGCTCAGAATGCATTGCTGGAGCTAAAACTGGGAGCTATAAGAATATCTCTATCTCATGATAAGTTCCTTCAGCTATTGGGTGAAGCTCCATCGACTAAAAGGTACTCATATGTAATGCATGCTTTATTCTCTTGCAAGGCTTGCATGCGGCATACCATAATGATGATATAAGATACTCTTGATAATACTACTATACTACTACAGGTTGGTGCTCTATGAGTCAGTCAAGCCTTCTTTACCTAAATATGCACAGGTATTGTATCTACTAATTACTGAGGAGTATTAAAAAATTGGATGCACTCATGTACATGCATACACAGGAATTTTGGGACTCCAATCTTTCTGTCATTGAGTCTGGCATTGCCAATGAAGGAACACTAGAAAAATACTTAAAAGTATTCAATGAGAAGCATCTACCTAAAGTAGTGTCATCTGAACTGCTGGATGCATTCTTTGAGAGTCAGTCAATTGAAGAACAGAGAAAAGTTTTTAATCAATTTCCATTAAAAGAGTTAAAGGATTTGATAAGGCAAGTATACCAGCACCTTTATTAGAGTATATAACTATACACATCTCCTGTAGTTTGTATTTCTCAAAAGAGAAGCTTGAAAAAAGACGCTCTGAGGCTCAGTTTCAACATGCTAAGATAGAATCTGATGAGGCTGGAGAAGCATTCGCAAAAAGATACTTTGTTGTGGCAGAAAACATACCGGCTCATGACAATTTTTACTTCAGTCTGTTCAATAGAGGGATGAAGGGATATGATCCTGCTAATAAACCAAACTTTGCAGCTCCATATCTAGCAAAGGACAACTATGAGGAGCTTAAAGTTAGCAGAGAGATCATGAGCATCAATTGATCATTCCTTAAATTTCCTTTATAGGGGTTGATAGATCGAGTTGTTGTATGTACCAGCACAATTGAAGAGCAAGTGAAGCAGATACCATTAGGAACAGTGACTAAAGTAGGCATCTATTAGTGATTCATGTGCTACTCTATCTCTCACTGCAGGCTAATCTGTCTGATATATTTGAGTATACTAATGAAGAAGTATCTTGTAGTATTTGTGAATCGGTTGCCAATGTTATGGCTCCAGGTGGACGCATTGTTTACTGGGAGCTACAAAACACCCGACCTGCACCCTCTAGTGTGTTCCATTATCATGAGAAACTCTCAAAGGAGCTTCATGCAGAGGACAGGGTGTTCTATTACAAGTCATTCAATGTTTATGAAAAAAAATGAAATGAACAATAATAATTTATAAGGATGCACAATGTGAAAATTATAATTTAATATTTTGAGACTGAAGAAAACGTTTTTCCTCCCTTTAGACTTGTGAACATTCATTAAATTTATGCATTATTAGCTGTTAAACTGCTTGCTGCATAACCAATGCAAAACCACAATAATGAATAGCAACGTGGGTGGGAAATGGGAAACAAGGAATCAAATTGGGGTGGCTTAAACTCCATAAGATTATTTTTGGTGAGCTACAGTGCTTGTGCAGGTTTTTGTTGTCGAAGAATTTGATAGTTTGATTCTAGTCTCCTTAGGGGCAGGCACCAGACTAAGAACCTTCAAATTCTTTGATAATTTTGTTACTGATAAGAATCAATACCATATATCGTTTGTACATAGATACTGTATAATACATGGTTTGTATCAATAAAATATTGATATTGCCAACCACTATAGATTAGTCCTCTCATTGGCAGATTTAAGATTATGAGAAGAGCTTGGTTATAAAGTTTATCAAAGTAACACCACTATTTCTTGTCTCTTTTATTGGTTGATAAATTTGTAAAAATGGTACATGTAACGACCATACATCAGCAATAATAAGTTTTTAAATTGGGCTTTCATTTAGAAAAAAATTTAACAATTTCAGACATTCATAAAATGTTGCAAGAAATAGCTCCAACTTTTTATATAGCATATTATAAATCATCATAAAATGCAAATTTAATCATCTCTTTTTCATTGTTATTTCAATGCATGCATCTCAAGTGCAATAAGTTAAACTGTCTCACTAAAATACGACTCAAGTAAATTCTCAATGTCCTCCTGCTTGTAATCCTTGACAATGACACTCTTCCCATTCTCTGCTCCTCTTATCATGGCTGAAAGTCCTAATGCAATAAATGAACACAAAAATAGAAAAAATTCTTAATTAAGCGAAATTTTAGGCTCACTTTTCTCTGTATCGGACGGTCTGAAGAGACAGAGTATATTCTTATTCATCTCTATAGCTCGTCCAATCTCATAACCAACTCCAAGGGAAGGTTGAGTTACCTCGGCTACAAGGACTATACCACTCACATTAAATAATTATTTATTAAATTATTGATGAACGTACCGTGCGAACTTCGTAACCAATCCATGTCACGTTTGTGTATTTCCTTATCAGTCATGTGACTGTCACCTATAGATCACGTGATGCTACAACTATAATTATAATAACCAAATCATTACCTAATTCTGTTAATGTAGGATCTCCAACGTGTTCAGTCAGTACAGTGCCATATTTTTTGAGGATTGATACTATCTTGTAATATAAATGAGAGTCTCCTCGTCCAGCCCTAATACTAGCTGCAAAATAAATCCTCCTTGCTGCCGCCATTGCTGTAACGTAAAATGATTTAAAAGGGTGTGGCTCGTGCACACGTGGAGTCACGTGTGTACCAAAAAAGTTTAAAGGTATAATAATGATGTAAAAAATTAAAAGATTTTGGTGGTTCACAAATAAGAGGAGCCATTTAAAGTGTGTTTGGTGATCATTTTCTTATTCAGCTCCTCAGAAAGGACTTTTAGTTTACTGGAAAAAGAGTCAATATTCAAATAGCAACCCTAAGGAATAACAGAAAAGATAACAGTTCCAACACTTCCAGCACTTACCACTAAATGTCTAATTCCTCCATTACGATTGATTGCACTCCGTCCGTGCAGTATCCTTTGATTGTTAAATGACATGACATCACCAGGAGAGAACTGATGCTCAAGCTGACCAAAGAAGAACACGGAATTATATTAAAATAAAGAGGCTAGGTCACCTTGTATGGGCTTTCGTCTATTAGCCTCTTGAATGTGCAATAAGCTTCATAATAGCCATCAATCTCATCCTAAGAAAGATATA